AAAAATTGACGCGTAATATTATGTATAAAGACGACAGACACCTTTACTAACAATCGAATATTTACTTCATCCGATACATCGATACATGATATTATAACTGAAACTAGTAAAATATTCTATGATTAAGAATCTGCGCAGTTAAATTTCAGTACAAATTATTTTAAACGTCTATCTTATTGAAAATATTTTCAACAAAATCCCGTATGGCCATGGCTCATTTTCTTTAAACTGGACCTATAGTTTCGGTTAAGTATAATTGRTCCAATCCCTATAGACTGCATGCAATAGACATACACCATGATGAACAAATGTGAAAAAGTTAAACAAACTACAAACGTTTTAAGATGCAATTCAATRAGGAATGTCAATATTTTTTTTCAGGTCGAACTGCTAAGAAATTGTATAGGGAGAACAAGAGTTAAAACGTCAGTTGCTTTGGACGGTCTAGTTTCATTTGCTGAGACGTACAACGAGTACGACCCATTAATCACAGGTGCTCAGCCATCTAATCCTTGGGTGACGGACGACCCAACATTTTGGACGTTCAATTGCCCAATGTGAGTTTAAGTACTATAGTAATATATACTCTAATAATAAGTGTTATGTWGTAGTAAAAACCAAAAAMCAAATTACCAAAATTCGCACGTCCGCGAGCAGTGTTAATATTATATCGAGACGTATGTATGTTTCAGGGTGGAAGCTATAACCGAAAAGCGTATAAAACGTTGGGCTCTATCAATGGAAGATTTAGTGTCCGATGCAACAGGTAATTGGCTATTATTATTATAGTTATATAATGTTTACAAAAGTATGCGCTTTTGATCAAACCTTTAAAAYAGTCGTTTTCCACGTTCACTTAACTCAATGTTTTAATTTATACGGTCAATTTTGTTCAAGATAAATATCTATTGTGTTATAACGTAAATAAATTCTACATACCTTGTAGAAATTGAGAAATATCTTTAGCACAGAATGCGTGGCTCTAGTCAATTACATTGTTTTTCATACTGAACAGGTCTCTACGAGTTCACAAATTATCTCCGGAAGGAATACAGCCACGAAAACATTAGGTTTTGGTTGGCGGTCAATGATTTGAAACGAAGCTGTCAGTCACAAATCCTGCAAAGAGTCAAAGAAATATATGAGTAAGTATTCAAAAGRAAGATTTATTATAGGTACTATAATTATTACACAATAACAAATAACAATGATTAATGATTATTATTAACACTGATGAATTATATTTCCAACGTAGCGAAGCTTCGATTTAATACGCATTTATACATACAGTTAATAATAATATGATGAAGATCTATCAATTTGATATTTAAATTTGTCAGATCTTTTTGATATATACCTTGTACTTATGCATGSAGTGCAGTTATTAAGTAATATGCTTCTCAGTTCTCGAAGTTATAATAATTATTTTAAACAGCAATCAATCAATTTATTAAAATCCATATAATATAGTAGATTTATTTAATTATAGTRTATTTTTATTTTTTCAATAAAACAATCCGTTACGCTATAGTAATACCTATTATTTATTCGACATATGTATCCACTTACAATAACCACCTAATAAAATCAATACAGGTTTAAAGCTTGTCATTTTCATACATACCACTCTAATACAATAATTTAACTTGTTCAATAGTAAATTCGAAATTACGAAATTATTACTATATAGGCAATAAAATAAAACGATCCGCCGAAAATACAAATTAACGTTTTGGCCAAGTAGGGGTATTCAATATCAAYAAATGTATTAAAAATGCAATATTTAAATGTACCTATATTAATATAGGAATAAGAGTATTCAAAACCATTAAACGTCATTGAATAGTTACCTACTAAAATATTTTACAACCACRACTGCGCAAAATATAATTGCGCACATCAATCCCTATAATACACGACGTCTATATCGGCATCGCGTGTTTTCAGTGAGTTTCTAGCGCCCGGTGCTCCGTGTGAAATCAATATTGACGGAAAGACGATGGAAAGAACGCATAAAGAAATGAAAATCCCGTCGAGATTTACGTTCGATGGTGCTGCGGAACACGTGTATACATTACTCTTGAAAAAAGACTGTTATCCTAGGTTCATAAGGTCGGAGCATTACAAAAATCTGCTCGCTAATGGAGTCCAGCCCTCGGCCAGACGAAGGTATACAATATACTTAATTACAACGATTTATTAAAATATATGATTCGATTCACTCTGTCGTTCTACAGCTGTACTGCAGAATCTGTAGTCGTGATTTATTTTAAATGCAACCGTCGGAAAACGGCAGCGAGTATTATTATTATATTACATTTTGTGTTACGTGTATTCATTTGTCGATACATATTATACGGATGTTAACCGGCGATTAGCTTTGGTTAAATAAAAAATGTATTTGTTATTATTTCACCACGAACCAAATTATTGAACAACATAAATCAAATGAAAATGACGATTGACGATCGAATACTAACGAATTCGATGAGCTTAAAAAATTATCAGGCGTAAGATTATATTATAATAGTTTGTTGATGTTTCGTTTAGATTTTTCGGGCTGGTCGGCGGCGCTGCCAACAAAAAGGTAGATTGCAAAGATCGCATCATAAGAAGCACTGTTGGATGTTCAAGCACACAGGGTACGTCATCGTCATCGGTTTTACAAGCGAATCAGTCGTCGTCGTGTAACAGCGCAAAACGGAGGGGCAGCGACAGGAGCCTGACCAGCTCACCACACGAGCTTCCAATAAATTCTGTTAAAGTCTCGCAATCCCATAGTCAATCTAATCTCAGTGACATACCCTATAGGTAAGCCAACAAAAACAACACAAACAATATACCTATATATGTGCGTAACATGTATATATATATGCTTTATTATAATGCGCATAAACATATATATACTATACTATGTATATGTGTTATGACTTTTAAGCATAAGCATATAAAAACACATAAAAAAATCCACAATTATCATTTATTAAGACCCAGTTTATGAATGTTACTTATTCATCGTTTGGTGTATACCTACCCAGCGATACTATAAATAAGAATCTCACACACGAGAGTTCAAAAATAATAACTACTATCAGACACATATAAATAAAAATATATACTTCGGGGTGAACTGTGTATAGGTCTGTGCTGTACATATTTTTAAATACTAACCCAACC